TAAAACCTTTTTAACTTTGTTTATTTCTTAACAATTATTATTTTTGCTCTGAAAATTCCACTAAAATTTATTTACACATTTTAGGCTTTTAGGAAATATACAAAAATCCTCTAAGCCTTATTTGACTTTTACTTTGCACATTTTAATTTTTGGAGGCTTTCACAAGGATTTTAATTATTCTAGGCATAATTTTAAAGGATATATTTTAGGGTCGTTTTTGGACGTGACATATGGTGTGGCGAAGGGCGAAATCGCAGCTTGTGCGTGAGGTTGGGCCATGGCATTCGGCTGCCCGGCTCCAACTGGAGGTACTTGCTGAGCCGCCATGGATGGGTCAAAAATTGGCTGTGACCACGTCATGGCAGCTTGGATTGGTGCTTGGTTTGTTCCGAAGCCTAGAGTTGGAGCTTGCTGCCGAACGGTTGGTGCCTGAGCAGCGTTGACGAAGTCGAACTGCGGTCCTTGATTCCACGGTGAAACTCCCAGGCCCGGCTGAATCGATGTTAACCAATTAGGCGTACCTTGACTTGTATTCCCCTCCGGGTGGGCCGATGGGGTTGTACTTGAAATGCAGTGGGGTTGGATGAGTTGCTGAAGGAAAGCTTGGAGTTGCGCCTGCAGAGCCGAAGCCCCTTCCGCCATTGTTTGTGGCGCTTGGCCAAGTGGTTGATGGTGTGCTTGGGCAGCGACTGGTTGAGCTTGCAGTTGCACGTGAGGGGCCAGATGCGCTGCTACGGCCGATTGCTGCCCGGCAAAGTACATTGGCGCTTGTGCGACTTGTGGCGGAAAGGGCTAGGTCGTCACTTGCGGATGGACTTGAGGTGGGACATAACCTGCCGAAAACTGAAGGATTGGAGCCGACGTGACCTTGGTCCGCCTTGCCGCCTCGTATGCTTGTTGTTGTTTTTGCATTTGGCGAAGCATGTCTTGGAGCCATGTCATGTTCTGTCGCATGGCTTCCATGTCGGCTTCGGCTTGTGTTTCGGGGTCAGGGCTGACTTGGGCCTGCACGGCGGCGAGCGCGGTTGGGGCCGCTGTCGGCTGCGATGGAGCGGCTTGGGGCACCACCAGTTGGCTTGTCGAAAGGATCTCCGCCCTGATCTGTAGTGCCCTTGCCGCCGCAGCCGCCTTCGCCATATCGGCCGTGTTTGGCACTTGCACAGAGGCGGCAGGGGCCGAAGGCGGTTGTGATGGCGCAGATGTGGAAGCAGATGGTCCTCCTCCATCTTCGGCCACTGGCACCGAAGGCTCTGCTCCCTCCTCGGCGGCCATGTCCGGTCCGGCGTCGCTTTCCTTCCGCCTGGCAACCTTCTCCTTCACGACCTTCTTCGGTGGCATTCGCTCTCAGTGGTTTCACTTGGAGGTCCCCACGGTCGGCGCCAGCTGTTGTCAAAACGACAACCGCATACGTCGAAAGACGTGGTTACTCAAAAGTGGTTGGAAAAACGAAGTGTATTAAATTTTGAATTTCACTCGGCATCCCCCCGTTACATGGCCCTAGGGGGCAATTTATAGCCCCATTACAGGTTCTTACTACTAGGGTTTAGGTTATACAGGGGAATTTACATGATTACCCTTACGAAAGGGACATTTACAGGGGTACATAATGTTATAGGGGCTCATGGGCCCCTGATGGGCCGTCAGGCGATCGCCGGCCCTATAGCCCCTAGGCTTGATGGGCCGGAAAGGCTTCTTCGGCCCTCGGGGGGGGGAGCGAACTTGCCATGGCGAAGTCGTCTTCCTTCGGCAGATAGTCTTCGCCTTGCACTCTTCGCCTGAGACGCCTCTGGCCTGGCAAAGCACTCGTACGACTCTTCGCCTCACACCGTTCTTGTTCCATAGTCTTCGCCACGGGTTTCAGCAGATTTGGTCGAAGGGCCTCATGCCATCCGCCAACAAAGATCTTGTCAGCTTTGGTGATATCAAAGTCATACTTTTCCTCTTTTCCAGGGCTTTTTACCCATTGGCATGGTATGACCTTTTTGCTCCTCACCCACTCGGCTGCAGCTATCTCGGAATCATTTTCTTCGTCATCCGACCCATACATATATGGACAAACATGATTAACTTTCTTAGAGCTTTTCCTGACTTCTGCCGACCTATGCTCATGCAGGGTTACCTTCTGTATCAGATGCGATAAGCTATCAAAGTCTTCGGACGAGAATTTCTCCCTGATTGGAGGAATCAAACCCTGGAAGGCCAAATCGGCTAACTGAGCATCAGTCAAACTCAAGCTAAAGCATTTGTTCCTCATCTCCCTGAATCTCTGAATATACTCGTGCACGGGTTCATCATGTCGCTGCTTAATCGCTATCAAGACAACTTCATCTCATGAACCCCACTGTAGAAATAGCTGTGGAATTGTTTCTCCAAATCGGCCCAACTATTGATCGACCTATATGGCAAAGAGGAAAACCAAGTAAAAGCTGATCCAGACAGAGATAACCGAAATAACCTAACTCTCAGAGCGTCTACAGCCGATGCTTCACCACACTGAGCAAGGAATCGGCTGATGTGCTCATAAGTTGACACGCCCTCTTGCCCCAAAAATTTGGAGAAATCTAGAACTTTAAACCGATTGGGGAATGGGACTCTTTCAAACCACTCAGGATAAGGCAGCCGATACAAACTTCGGCAATCACATTAAGTCCAAATTATTCCCTCATTACATCGGCAATCACATCGGCCCATGGTCGTTGCTGAGCTGCTTCTTGTGGCTGTTGCTGCATGGGCTCAAATTGACCAAACTGAGACGTGAACCGGCATGACGTTGTCATCAATGATGTCAGTCAATCCCAGCTTCGACGCCTTGCCTTTAACGGAACCTGGGCTTGATGGTGGTGGTGGCTGTTTCTTGGCCATGAGGAAGAACTGACGTCTGACTTCTTACAGGTCCCACCGGGCGTACCAAAAGCGTGTTGACAGAAAACACGTGGCCTGGGAGATCTGCTTAACTCCAGTCCAGGTCCAAAGCTCGCCTTCGGATGTATTAGCGTGCGAGTTGATTTGATCCTGTAATCAACAAGAAATAGAAGCAAAGAAACCATGGTTAAATCTATAAATGATAGCCGATCGGCTAGATGCTGATGACATATCATTTATCTTTGGGCCGATGTCATCTGTGTATCGATCGGCAGTCATAAATAAGTAAAGAAAGACTAAATCTACTTGATCGGCTGTAGATATTAACGTTATATACTCCTTATATCGATGTATACTTAAATCAAGTGATTGGGATAGATCGGTCATCATGCCGAGACAGTATAAATCACTTAGATCGAAATATATTTCAATAACAGGACTATATATGTTTATAGCGTAGCCGATTAAATAGATCTAGCGTGTATCGGCTAATACTCTGATACTACTTTATATCAGGATATTAAAGCAGGTATAATATATCAAACAAAGGCCTAACATATTTAGATATAGAAGTATCTTGATATAAAGGGCAGACTTAACATATCAATGAAGCATATAGAATAAATATAGTTAAATCAGATACGATCGGCTGAAACTCTGATGTTATTCTAATCGGCAACTAGAAGGCAGGCTAGAGATCGATATTCTAAACACGACTTAATAGGTTAAACTCAACTGATGCAACATTAAGTATGAAAAGAAGAACGATATCTAGCCAACCAAGCTGCTAGAAGTTTCATAGAATGGTAGATATCTTATATAATCTAGATCAACGTCGAGATCTAACCTAATCGGCTGCTTTCTGCATACAGATATTGGCCGATAGTAGATTAGTTGGCGATATTTCTAGTGATTATGTAAGATATATGATAACTCGGCGAATTACATAAACAAGATTAGAGTGTCATGAAGATGGAAGCACTAATCCTAAGAACGCAATCCGTCATAACGAATTTTACCTCTTGTTGAAGATCAAAATCGATGCAGCTCAACCTGAAAGCAAGAACTCGTCGAAACAAAACTAAAGCAAAAAGGGTGGCGATGCGCCAAGATTGTATTGAACGTGTGTGTTAATAATTACATAGGGCTCGGGGTCTATTTATACCCGAGAATTACAAGATATGCCCATACCGGACATAACTATTATCTCTAACAAACTCTAAGATACCATAAGTCTTTACGGCAGACTCTTGCCCACAATTATCTAGAAGGAATTTACAGAAGATATCCTAATTAATAGATACAATTGCCTTCCCAGGACTCTATCCGTGCGTGGCAATCATCTTGAAGTACTTTAACTTGAACCCGATGTCGCGTACAAGTTATATCGTCAGGATCGGCTACATCGGCTTACCTAGCCCGACTCAGACCCAACCGATCTTATCGTAGCGGATCTGGACTTCAGCCGATTCCTGCTCTGTTTTCAAACTCGATCTCTGCTTCCGACTTTGCTTCGATCTAATCTTCTCTCCCGACGCTGATGTTACCAAATTTGGTTGTTAACATAGTCAGATTGCTAGATGAAATAATTTGGTTCAAAGTATGCAACAAACGATTTAAAGCCATTGCAACACTTAAAATCCATATACATCAACAAACCACATGTCCATCAAGATGAAATTATTAAACAGTATCAAAAATCCACTATGAGATTTGGCCAGGGGGTTTGTCGGCGCTTGGACAGTGACCGAGGTATGGTGGAGGATGGAAGCGAGAGTACACGTGGGGCCCGAGCTGGCCCCATGGCGGGAAGATGAAGAGATTTATACAGGTTCAGGCTACCGTGAGGTGTAATGCCCTACTCCTGTATTTAAACTGTGCGGGGGGCCACCTACAAAAGGGCGGCCTACAAGGGGGCCGCCTGCAAAAAGTTGCGCCCAGCCAACGGCCGTCTGCCACGTCGGAATCCTTGCCCTCCCAGAGGGCGATGGGAGACTAGTTTCGTAAAACTTTTAAATAGAAAATTATTTTTGTAAATATTCTAATAAAAAAAATAAACAAAAAAAAAATCGAGGGGCTTCGTCGCATGAGGCTGTAAACGCTGGCGCATTGGAGGCCCACTTCCACGCGCGGCCTGGTCGCGGGCCCACGCCTCTTCCCATTGCCTGATCGGCCATTACCCCCACACAGGTCGTATTCGTGTCCGTCTCATTCGTTGTACCCGCCCACCTACTCCCACGGCTTATATCATCTTCAACAGAATCTCTATTTGACTCTCCAAGTTAAAATTTAGCTATTACAGAGAAAAAACAAGCTCTAACAGATTCTCCATTCGGATGGCCAAGGCATTCGGATAGCCAAATTGCTCCACCGGCTAGCCAAATGTAGCCAGCCTCCTCCACTAGCGAAAGGTGGGTCCCACCATCACTCCCAGCTCTCCTCCCAGCCTCAGCCAGCCATCCTTCCTCTCTCTCAGCTGCATCGGCCGGGGGAGAATCGGAGGGCACGCCGGCCACGAGCGCGCCGCCGTTTAGATGAAGTCGACGGAGGAGTCCGGGAAGGGGAGGCGGCGGTCGTTCCCAGCGATAGCGAGCGGCGGGGAGCGCTTCCTGGCGACGGCGACGGCGGTGGAGACGCTGAGCTCCCGCATGGCGAGGGCCTCCTGCACGGCGCCGAGGCAAATGGCGCGGGAGGTCGGGGAAAGGATGCCGTTGGCGAGGAGGGTGGCGAGGAGGGTGGCGTGGTAGTCGACGGCCTTCCGCCAGTCGTGGGTGCGCCAGGCGTCGGGGGTGGCGACGGCGGCCATTCACTGTTGTAGGACCTGATATAAAAAAGCAAGTAGAGTGAGACAAAATCAGGATTCTTTTGATGGATAGTGAATGTAGTTATGTACACTGATGCTGATATCTTGACATTTTAGCCGGAAGTCAGATACTAATAGATTCTAGTGTGTTAATTTTGAAGTGAATAAACTTTTGCGTATGTATGTAATTGAGGTGGTAACAGTTAATAAATTATAGCTAGATGCACTGCAAATTGATAATTGAAACAGAATTCAGTCGTTTGTACAGAACAAAACAGAATTCAAGGGAGGTGCCTTGAGTACGGCGACGGCCTTCTTGGTGGCATCGGCGACGACGAGCGCCCTGGCAGCGGCGGCGCCCCCGGGACCAACGGCGAGGATGGCTTGCATGCGGCGGTGGCGGGAGGGAGGGACAGGGTTGGTGAAGTGGCTTCCATGCGGCGGCCACGGCCGGGGAGCCCTCGCCGAAGGCCCTGCGCGCGGCGATGGAGGCTCCATGTAGTCCTTCCGGGAAAAAGAGAGACAAAATGAGGAAGAAAGAGGTGATGCTGACATGTGGATTCCACTATCATACACTCACAATAGAGAGAACAGATAGAGAGACTGTTGGAGTAAATAATAAATTTGACTTGCTAATTAAATGGAGAGTTAGCTAAATAGACATTTGGAGAGTTAGATTTAAAGAGACGGTTGGAGATGCTCTTATCCCCCTCCCTCCGCCAAGCCAGCTGGAGAGGTAGCTGCTGGGCAGGGCACCGGCCGCTGCCTCACGTGTGGGAAAGCTGTAGCCCTCCTAAGCCTCCTCCACTGTGGCCGCTACGTTCGTTCCGGTCCTCTCCTCCGCCGAGCGCGCCCGGCGTGCGTATACATCGCCGTTGATTCCTTTCCATTAGCGAGGTTCGCGTGCGTTGGCGGTGCATGTTCAATAGCTACGGGAACGAGGGAGGTGGGTGTGGGATTGGATTAGATTGTGGGATCGCCCCTTGTTGGCTGTTGCTGAGACGGTATAGAGTCACCTCACCTCTGCGCGGTAGCTGTTCGGTGAATTGCCCAAGCGTGGTGGGGTTGAGCCGGACGCCCCAAAGCAGGCGAGTTGGAGATGCAACCAAATTTCGAGCTGTCTTGCAGTAGACTGTTGCTGCTGGGTTGGTGAAGGTTCCTGGTTTTGAGCTCACCTTCGTCACATGGGTTGGATGGTTATTCGTTAGTGTGTCATGTCAGTGTTTTGCCACCTCGTAGAGTTCGGTTTAGTGTTGATGGCATGGCACCATTGTTTAGTTCGTTAGCTTGATGAGTAAACTGAGTGAACTTGTGTGATCAGTTGGGGACTAACAGAGCAGCAATTTTGAACAAAATCTCAGCTTGAAACAAGTTCCAAGTTTATTACTACAAAATATAGCAAGCCCACGTGTATGGAAATTTCGAAGTGTTTAATTGTTCCAATTGTTTGATGATGACCCTAAACATAGCTTAATATGTATGTATACTAATTGCCTACGAACATTACTCATTTTCCATCAAAGCTTGAAACCCTTTTTTTTTAATTCTGATTTCTTACTAATTTAGTTATAAGAACATAGTGTAAGATCTGTTTAAACCTATAATTAATTGAAAATATGATATCCGTTCTTAAACGCATTACTGGACTCACCTTTTATGTTAAAGCAGCTACTTAACTTATATGGCTACTATATGAGCTACTACTTAACATCAATTTTCTTCTATGGTTACATCTTATTACCAATGTCATGTTGGCCTGAATATTTTGGCTTTTTGTCAGGTTGGGCTTCCCAAATAGCCTGTCTATTGCTGCACTAGGCTCTTCCAATTTTTGCAAATGGCAACTCCCGAGCCCATTGCTCGGCTTATTTCCCATGTCATTCTGGATTTAGATGGTACCCTCTTAAACACAGGTGATTAAAATGTTGCAAAATTTGCTTGCGTTTATCATTAACCTTTGCTTCGTTCAGTTATCTCAAAGTCATATTTTCTTATCTTGTTTTAATCATTTGACAGATTGTGTTGTAAGTCAAGTGCTGAAACCGTTTCTAGTCAAAAATGGGAAAAAGTGGGATAGCAAGAAAGCTCACAAATTAGTTGGAAAGACACCTTATGAAGCAGCAGCTGTTGTTTTAGAAGATTATGGACTCCCTTACTCAACAGAAGAATTTCTCTCAATGCTTACTCCAAATGTTCAATGAACAGTACTGTTGCTGAAACTTCTTAGCACTCATATAACCTGCATTTTGTAAATTGCATACTGCCATGCTATCTCAATGGAGAATCTTCGTACATTTCTCTATTATGGTTGCATTCACTTTGTTTTTTTTTTATAAAGGAAGCTTTTATTAATCTCAGACGATTACATCAAGTTGATAGAACCATACTAAGAAAACTCCCGGCCTCTGCATAACTAGGATGTACACAGCCAAAACACATAAACCCACAAAAGAGTTTGTAACAAGAGAAGGAAAGCAGTAAAAATCAGGGAGCACCAATCTTCAGGCTAGACCGCCACCCATGTCCCTAGGTAAAACATTCCCTGACCACCTGCTCCAAGCGCTGACACGCCGCTGCAACCAAATCCCGTGAACCAGGCTTCTGAAGGATAGCCCAGATACGAAGGAAGTGGATAGTTAAAAAAATAACCTGTAAAGGAGAAGAGATTTTTCTTTTGTCAAACACCATATCATTCCTACAAAGCCATAATGACCAACAAATAGTGGCTGCCTCTAACAGGATAAGTGACTTCAAGTCTTTCTTAATTCCCCGTAGCCAATTACCAAACATATTGGATACACCACGTGGCGGGAAAAGTCCTGTAGCCACTTGTATAATGCACCACACAAAACGGGCAAATCTGCACTCATAAAACAAATGTAATATTGTCTCATCTTTGTGACAAAAGCAACAATTCTTACTTCCTTGCCAATTGCGCTTAGCTAGGTTATCCCTTGTCAAAACTACCCCACGACGTAAATATCATAGGAAGATCTTCACTTTAAGCGGTATTTTTAATTTCAAATTACTTTGTTTATGTTGGGCAAATCTGAATGTACCAAGGCAAGATAATGCGACTTCACTTAAAACTCTCCATTTTGGGTTAAATTCCAATGAAACTTATCTTGATCCTGAGTAAGAACTAGGTTAGCGATTCGTGGAAGAAGGTTATTCCACGCCACTAATTTTGGCCCAATGAGATCCCTTCGCCAAGATACATTCAGAGGGTAATTTTGTAGCACTTTTGCTACAGTATCATGTTTATTCCTAACTATATTGTATAGACAAGGATATTATTCTCGCAATGGTGCTTCTCCCAACCACTTGTCTTCCCAAAACCTGATTTGGGCACCATCTCTCATAATGAATTTGCCAAATCGTAAAAAGTCACGCTTGACCTTTATAAGGCTGGCCCAGAATTGTGAGTCCCCAACTTTAAACTCAACTTAGCTTGTGACACAGGTTTTGAGCCCAAGTACTTGTTACGAATCAATTGTTGCCAGACCCCATCGGTCTATTCAATATTTTTAATATTTAAGAAGGGGTGTATGTGTAGTTTTACCAGCCAGTTGTTCCCGTAATATTTTAGATTATGAGAGATGTCATTTACAGACCACTTCTCAATGATATCTCCCAAATATCTTCCTTTGGTGTACTTATTTTACTATGTCTGCATCAACACACCATGCTCTGGTGGATTTGGTGCCTAATGATTCATGGAAATAATAGTAATATAAAATGTCATCAGTAGGTTGGCCTTACACATTCTTCTATATTTTATTAGCATGGATTTCAATTTTTCTACCTTACTCTATGAACAAGCATCTAGTACGTTATGGAACCATGTCAAACTGTCAGTGCCATGTAGGAAGTATGTCTGTTTTTAGTATAGCATTTGTTTGAAATAATGAAATGCAAGTTTCACTTTGTAAGTCACTGTGGAAGAAACTATACGTAGGCTGTGTCACTAAATAGCCGAATTTCTTATAGTATCTGGTTTGTTAAGCTCCTTCGATTCAAGTTGAACATGAAACTTTCTATATAGTGCAGAGTACTTTATATAAATGGAGAAGAATTGTCCAATGTCTAACATAGTAAAGCCCTTTATGCAGATTTTATTTTAAGCTGAAGTTTTGGAAAGATTTTAAATCATTGTTCAAAAGATAAAATTTTCATATTGTACTGTGCAAAGAAGATTGTGTAGAAAAAGGGAAAAATTGTCGTGTTCTCACAATGAATTTCATATTGCAGATGGTGCAACATAAAAGCTCTTCCTGGAGCTAATCGGTTGATAAAACATTTGAAGAGTAATGGAGTACCAGCTGCTTTGGCTTCCAACTCACCAGGATCAAACATTGAAGCAAAAATTTCCTGCCATCAAGGTAACCTCTCATACTTCAGGGTAAAATTTTTTCGTTAATTTGCATGTTATTTTCATTGATTTTGTCGACAGATATATCATATATTAATTACTGTATTCTCACCATGTTTAGGATGGAAAGAGTCATTCTCTGCAATTGTTGGTGGCGATGAAGTAGAGAAGGGGAAGCCATCCCCAGATATGTAAGGCAGTGTGCTATATAGCATTTTCGTTACTGGTACTTTATGGATCTTTTGAACTCATCTCATATCATTTCCTTTGCTTTGATCTGATTTTGTTCCGACATTCCTTATAACTGCTGGGGTGTTGATATTAAAGATTTTTGGAAGCTGCAAAACGAATGAACACAAATCCTCCAAATTGCTTAGTAATCGAGGATTCCTTGTAAGTTTTTTCCCTGTTATATATGGTTCTCCTATGTGCAAATTTCCACCTCATGATTAGTTGTGTACATTTTATCTTGATCTACACTTGAACATAACTGTGCATATTAAACTTTTCTCTTCACAACTTTACCTCTAATACTGTAAATTATTGATTGTGCTAGGCCAGGTGTTGCAGCTGGAAAAGCTGCAGGAATGCATGTATAGCTGTACCTTCAGTCCCCAAAAGGACTGCTGAATTCAGTTCTGCTGATGAGGTGATCAATTCCCTCCTTGACGTAAGGCCTGAAAAATGGGGATTGCGGCCATTTAGTGATTGTATGTTCTAACTCTTGGGACTACTTCTGTTAGAAAATTACAGGCATCTTTATCTTATCTATTGACATATTTTATATGCAGGGATTGATGATACCTTACCAATAGAACCATGGTTTATAGGTGGATCTGTGATTAAAGGATTCGGCCGTGGTTCTAAAGTACTAGGAATTCCAACAGGTATGGTGGAGCATATAACTAGAGAGTAGTTTATAAGCTCTATGGCTTTTGTGGTTTTACATTCTATGAATCACAAGAATGATTTTTCTCATGTAGTGTGCTACTTTCTTTATTTGCTGGACCATGTCAAAGTACTCAACCGATTAATTTTTTCAATACTAGCATGCCCAATTTCCATTGTGAGCACTGTCACTGATAGCTATATATTTTCCTTGCAGCCAACTTACCTGCAGAAAACTTTTCCGACGTACTATCAGAGCATACATCAAGGGTATACTTTGGCTGGGCTGGACTTTCAACGCGAGGTATATATAAGATGGTCATGAGCATTGGGTGGAACCCTTATTTTGATAACACGGAGAAGACTATTGTGAGTGTTTCTCAATACAGCCCCTTCCATGTTTAGTACCTCAGTATATTAGTTTATTCTAAAAGACATCGGTTGTAGGAACCATGGTTGCTTCACGATTTTGGTGAAGACTTTTATGGAGAGGAGCTGCGCCTTGTTATTGTTGGTTACATACGACCCGAGGTAATTTAGAACCAGACTATTTATACTGCAAAAGCCATCCCACTATATGGTGAATTCATGTTCCTGACTTGTCACGTTGTTATGAAAATGCCTAGGCCAACTTTCCTTCACTAGAGAGCTTGATAGAGAGGATTCACGAGGATGCAAGGATAGCAGAGAAGGCCCTGAATTTACCATTATACGCCAAGTATACAGACTCGCCGTATCTAAGAAATTCCTTGAAGGAGGACAATTCTGCTAACGGGAACCAGTCAGTGATAGATTCCAAGTGATTCAACGTTGTGAAGTGAAAAACATGAAGAATTCTCTTTTGCAGCGTTGTTGATGCAGAAAGAGTCCTACAGTTCTTGTGCTTGTACTGCAGCATTATGTTCCATGAATTCTGAAGGTAATATTTCTTGCCTGTTGGGTTTTTAGGTTTCGACCGTATTTTGCATATTACCTGCTTAAACATGATCGTTAGTCATGATTTTGTAGATCAAACCGGCTAGCGGAGCTAATTTAGATAGAACGATGGATAACTACCCGTCTCGTGGGTAAACGGAAGGTTTTCAAGACAAATCTACAAAGAGGTGTCGTACTCTTGTAGTGGTGGCGAATGATTTACGGCGCAAATCGATAAATATGGACAAATTAATTAGAATTATATGAAAAAAGTGAAAGAACTATTCAATTGGCTAATTACTTGAGACTAGATCGTGTGTCTCTAATAGAATTGGCCTTGGCCCTTAAATAGGGGTTGGTCTCTCCTATATGTCCTTCACGTCTAACTCGGAATAGAAATTAATGGAAATCCGAAATATTCCTTCCCAAGCAAGAAAACCTAAGACCTGACGAAAACAGACCGGCCACAAACCGGCGGTCTGACTGGCCACAATATGACGGTGAGACCGGCCATCCAGAGGATATAACTGGTAGATTCCAAATTTTGGCAACTCTATTCAATTTCTAACCTATGTGCCAAATTTGAGTATAAACAATTATTTTTTTGTTTATGTTTAATATTCTATGCATGTGTTAAAACATTCGATGTGACAGCGTGTAAAGTTTTGGTGTGGGAACTAAACACCCATAATTAGTGAATTTCTTTCATTGATCTGCAGCGAACATGCAAATGTACATGTTATGTATTACTCCGTCCGTCCTAAATTTTGGATGATGTACTCATTAGCACATGTTAATTATGTTAATATATGCTCATTAGCATATAATTAATTAAATATTAGCAACTTTTTTTTAAAAAAATGGATTAATATTTTTTAAAGCAACTTTCGTATAGATTTTTTTTTGGTAAAAAATGCATCGTTTAGTAATTTGAAAAGTGTGTACGTGAAAAACGAGAGAGGTGAGTTGGAAAAGGTAACAAACAACACAACCTTAATATATACTAACCTTTTTCAAAACATAAGGGATTTTGTTCATGTAACTATATTTGTTATATATATACAGTAGATGAAATCTACTGTATTTTGTGACTGATGCGGTATACATTTTGTAAAGCATTTTGTAAATGCCATTTGGACGGATGGTTGAAGATACTCTTTCTTAAGCATGCCAAAGTCTAAAAAAGAATTCATTCCGATCAGCACAGTACCTGTTGTTAAAGCATGCCAAGATTTTTATTGCTCGATCCGCGTACAAGAACGCTGCTTAGCAACCAAATGTCTTAACGATGTTAAGATGGTAGCTACTCCCTCCGTTTCACAATATAAGTCATTCTAGTATTTTCTACATTCATATTAATGTTAATTAATCTAGACATATATATTTATTTAGATTCATTAATATTAATATAAATGTAGAAAATGTTAGAATGACTTACGTTGTGAAACGGAGTGAGTAGATTCCATTCCATCAGGGCCACACCCCTCGTGTGTTTCAACGCTTCCCGAATCCAATTGGGAACCTCATCTCCACGCACAGCAAAAAGGATTCCAACAGGCTGCAAGCGTAGTGTAGACGTAGGGATGGATGTGCGGTTATGCGACTCCCTCTGCCTGATTCCAACGCCGGCCGTCGTCATCCAGGCAGCCAATAATTCCCTCGACCCCCACTCACCCCCTGCTGAAAAGAAAGGTGGCCGGCGGTCTGGCTTGCGTCGTTGTGGCGCCACCGCGCCGCGCGTCGGAAAAGCTGCTGCCTCGCGGATTCGCTCGCGTGCGTGAAACGGCCGGTCCAATGGCTAGATCTTTCTGGAACATGAATAACTTGGGTACACATTTTGCTTGGGTGGGTCCTCGTACGCGTACTGCGTGAACATTTCTCCAAGAAAGTTGTACGGTTGTTTTCTGTCGGAACCCATGAGATTTTTTTTTTAAATTACACAGTACTCCCTCCATACCCATAAAACAAGTCGTTTAGAACAAGATTGTGCTTACCAAGGAGTGATTAATCAGGGGCTATTCTTCCTTGTCTGCCCCTATTAAATGAGGGTGCGGGTGCATTTATTTGAGAAGCAAATAGAGCTCAAATGGCTAGTACAGCGAGGTTTGAAGGCTTAGTGTCTGGGTTCGATTCTTGGTGGGCTTGTTTTTTTACTGATTTTGCATGGTGCTCGTTTGCGCGCTCGTCGACGGAGTCCGGCGCCTCGACGTACTCCATCATGGCGCTCGGCAAGCGGGCGGCGAGGAAGAGAGACACACGTGTGCGAGCGGCGAGCGTGTGCGAGCGACGTGCGTGTGCCATTAATCACGTCCATTCAGCTTAAGGCGGCATTAATCACGTCGCCTCGTTTCTTGCCTCGCCGCTCGTCGCTCGGCTCTCGCATCAGGGGCATACGCGTCCAAACTATACGACTTGTTTTGTGAAAACGGGCCAAGAGCCCAGAACGTCTTGTTTTGTGGGTATGGAGGGAGTACAATACAGACACTCACAACACACGCACACTCATCTCTATAAACGCACGCACGCAAACCCTACCTCTATGAGCATCTTTAAAGACTTGGGCAGTAAATCCTGGAGATCAACGAAGTCACCACATGTGCCTCGCTGTCGACGGGTATGTCACAAACAACTGGAAGCATAAAGCCTTTAAATTCTAAAAAATTCGTTCCCATGGGGAGTCGAACCCAGAACCTAAGGTGCTACTAAGATTCTTGTAATCTTCCATGAGATTTTAGGTTGATTTTGTGGCATCGATTGAAATTCTAAATTCTCTTGTTTTTCTAATCTCTTATTTTATAAAGATACGACCCACTAACTATATCTCTACTACCTAAAAAATTCATAGTGGTGATGGTGAAGCCAACGTAGACGCACCATCCAACCTAAAAAAAAAGGTACATCGACACGATCAGAGCGACACGCTCCACCTCCGCACCACCATCGCGCCGCGCGAGATCCGGAATCAACGCAAAAAGAAAAAAAAAGAAACAGCGCCTCCCCACATCGCCGCGCCCGCGCCCCCATCGCCTCCCGCCTCCCCACCTCGCCGCGCCGGCGCCATCATCACCGTCGACCGTTTGCCATCACCGCCCTCCTCTCTCTCGCACTCACCCCGTCACCCGATGCCGCCCTCATCGGGCTTCCCCAACTCGTTCCACTGCCGAAACCCTAGACCCACACTGCCCTCGCCCTCGCAAAATCCTCCTCGCCGCCATCGTTCTCCATCGCCATACCACCGTCGCGCCGCCACGCCTTGCTCCGCTGATGCCACCAAATCACCGTCGCCCAGCTCGTCGGTCTCCTCTGCACCGTTCCCGATCTCCGCCGACAAAACATCGTCGGAGTCCTCGCCGGTTCCTTCTCGCCACCACCATTCTCCGCCGCCAAACCGCCGTCGCGCTGCCACGATCTGCGGAGCCCAGCCTCCATCGGCTGGGTTGGCGACAGATCGACGGGAGCCACCGGCCACTCCACTTGCGCCGTCATCGGGAACCGTGAAACGACCTCCATGGGCTGCGCCTGCGCCAGATTAATGGGCGCCGCCGGCCGCTCCACTTGCGACGTCGTCGGGAGCCATCGATCGACCTCCTCCATGGGCTACGCACACTGGTGGAGAAATCGTTTTTAGTTCCGGTTCGTAACCCCCCTATATTCCCGGTTTTCAAACCAAGACTACAAATCCGGGACTAAAGATTCCCGGTTCAAATACCCGGGACTAAAGATTGATCTTTAGTCCCGGTACCAACCGGGACTAAAGATGGGAGTGGGCAATAGTTTTTTTTTCATTTACTTACTATCTAATCTCTAATTTATTTTCTCCCAAATTAGGTGGGATTCGTATTCCTAAATCAAACCCTAAAATCAAAGTACCATCCCAAATACACAAATCAATCAATCATATACACTACAGATTATACATCCCAAATCAAACCCCAAATCAAAGAAACATCCCAAATACACAAATCATGTACATCTCAGATCCATACAATGAGATTCCAAAAAAAAATTATACATCTCAATCCATACAATGAACCACAGATTTTTCATCTCAATCTATACATGGATCACAAATTCTTTGAAAAAAAAAGAAAAAAAAACGAAGCAAAGCCGCCGGCCGGCTGAGCCGGCTGCCGCCTCCCCTCCTCCCCGGCCCCCGCAGCCCTGGCCGCCGTCACGCGCCGCCGCGTGGCCCTCCACGCCGGACGCCGCCGCGCTGCCCTCCGCCGGCCGGGCCGCCCACCCCCTCCTGCTGTGCACACCGGATCGAGTTGGGAAGGGGAGTTGGGAAGGGATAAGAAGGAAAAGAGATAAGGAGGAAGGGAAGAGATAAGATTAGAGATAGAGGGAGAGAGGAGTTGGTGTGGATGAGAAAAGAGTGGATGAGAAAAGAGTGTAAGTAATAGGGATTATATAGTGTGTTTTGATCTTTAATCCCGGTTCGTAACACCAACCGGGACTAAAGATCCTGGAGAGGGCTGACAACACCTGACAGCATGTGAACCGGGACTAAAGATCACGTAGTCCCATTCTACTTATAAACTGGGACTAAAAACCATTTTTAGTCTCGGTTTTTATTGTATCCGAGACTATTGTGCTTTTTGTCGATCGGGCAAAAATGGTTTCTCCATTAGTGGCAGCCGCCGAATCGATGGGAGCCGCCGGCCGCTCCACCTGCATCGTCGCCGGGAGCTGTCGACCGACCTCCTCCATGGGCTGCGCAGCCGCCGAATCGACAGGAGCCGCCGACCGCTCCACCTGCATCGTCATCGGGAGCCGTCGACTGACCTCCGTCGGCTGCTAACTTGTCATATTTGTTCTTCAGATAGCTTAATATGTAAGATGCTAAGAAACAACTACTGTTATCATCATCATTAATGGCATAATTAGTTCTTTTATAAGTGTACGTCTGTTTTTCATTACTATTATAATGTCTGTGCTGATCGTGTTTGTAGTACTAACCAAGCAACTCCCTTGTCCCCTGAAACGTTCATACCTTTGATGTTATCGTTTGCATTCAATACATATCTAGCTAAAGTCCTTAACTGGTACTCTAATTACAGAATTTCCTCGTCGTACAGGGAGAAGACTCCGCCCTCCGCGCCTCACTATAATGAACTGCTCAACATAATGTCTCTAAGGTTCTATCTGAAATTCTGAGAATGTTAATTCTGAAATTCTGAGAAAATGTGTCATTGTTAAATTGTTATATAATTTATGATATACTAGAATATAATTAGCACTATCTTCTAGGTGCTTATTTCTAATTGAATACTCAGTGGTAGTTAATAATTGTTGCATTGATAAACAAGTGCATTAGACTTAAGTTTTGCAAGATAGTCTTGAATAAGTAAAGATGCTTACTTGTCTGTGCTGGTGAAATCTTCATGCTAGATGAGCTTGTGTGCTTTTTGGAAAAAAAAAATGAGTGCAAACGTACAATTTATTGAGATGTAAACTTTGGGTGGTTTGTTGTTAGCACTATTAAGTATTCTATTGTTCCACTTATGGGTGAAGCTGATACCAAGTTATCTAGCACAGGGGTTTTTAGATGATCAGGTCCATTTTTTCATGCACAGCTGTGGATCTTTCACTAAGGTGGTCCAGTGCTCGATCTGCTTCAGGTTTAGTCCTAATCCCCTGAAGGTCTCAACGTCTGCTTTCAGAACGTTGGCAGCAGCGATCCGCCATGCGTGACCTCGCCAATCAGAGACCTCTTGTGCCCATATCCTGTTGTTTCCATTCGACGTCCTCAGTATCTCCTCATCTGAATTTAAGGTAAACAAACTATTTTCCATTTTTCCCTTGTGCGATTCATATGAGCAGATATTTTGCACTTGTTCTTCACAATGAGAAATGCGCAGTGATGATTATTGATGTTCATTTTTCACACTATGAGAATTCTTCTTCCAAAACTGTGCAAACTGAAAATACTATTAAAGGTACCAAAGATAAATTCTTATTGCTTCATTGCATATATTGAAGGACACAAACTCTCAGTAGTCTGCAAACTAAAAAACTGAAAGTAATATGCTAAAGGATGAAGTATAATTTTCAAAACCAATCCAAAAAAATGCATATGCTGAAGGACAAAAACTCAGAGTAATTCTTGCATGAAAAGGTATTAAAAAAGCGTCTCCACAAACAAAATTCATTTATCACTGCCAGTTAACAAGCTTATGGTCTTTTAACTTACTATCCATAAAGTTCTACATGATGTGTTCATGTTATCGTCACTGCTGAATTCGGGATCCTCACTGCTGAACAGAGACACAGTTGGAGGCTTGAAGCTGCTAGAAAACCAGCGTACATCCTTGAGCTGCCTAACAAGTGAGAGTCTTCCTAGCTCAACAAATAGGCTCATGCTTTTCGTCGGAGTGCATACAACCACCCACCCTATTTTTTAATCTTGCTCTGTAGGACAGGGCTAATCCTGGTGATAATAAGTGTTGGCGGTATGGCATGAGGCCCTTCGACCAAGATCTACCGAAAGCTATGCGAAGAGTGGGGATTCAAGCCCGAGACGTCAAAGTTAGTCGGGGCGAAGTCCCCCCATAGCGAAAACTATGGAACAAGGACGGCGAGAGGCGAGGGATCGCGCGGGTACTCTGCCAAGCCAGAGGCCTCTTGGGCGAAGGATGCAAGGCGAAGAGTATATGCCGAAGGGAGACGACTTCGCTAAAGCAAGCTCGCCCCCGCGAGGGCCGAAGAAGCCTTTTCCGACCCATCAAGCCTAGGGGCTATTGGGCAGACGATCGCCCGACGGCCCATCAGGGGTCCATGAACCTCAATTACACTATGTACCCATGTAAATGTCCATTTCATAAGGGTAACCATGTAAATTCCCCTGTATAACCAAAACCAGAGTAGTAAGAACCTGTAATAGGGGCTATAAATAGTCTCATAGGGCCATGGAATGGAGGGATCCGAAGAAAAATTCTCTAATTAATAGACTTTACTTCTTTCCCAACCACTGTTGAGTAACCACGTCTTTCGACGTATGCGGTTGTCGTTTCGGTAACAGCTGGCGCCGACCGTGGGGACCTCTAAGCGAAACCACTGAGAGCGAATGCCACCGAAGAAGGTCGTGAAGGAGAAGGTTACAAAGCGAAAGGAAAGCGACGCCGGGGCGGATATGGCCGCCGAAGAGGGAGCAGAGCCTTCGGCGCCCGTCGCCGAAGATGGAGGAGCGCCATCTGCTTCCGCACCTGTGCCATCACTACCGCCTTTGGCCCCTGCCACTTCTGTGCAGGTGCTGAACGCGGCTGACATGGCGAAGGCGGCTACGGTGGCAAGGGCACTCCAGACCAGGGCGGAGATCCTTTCGATAAGCCAACTGCTGGTGCCCCAAGCCGCTCCGTCGCAGCCGGCAGCGGCCCCAACTGCGCTCGCCGCTGTGCAAGCCCCAGTTAACCCTGACCCCGAGACACAAACCGAAGCCGACATGTAAGCCATGCGACAAAACATGACACAACTCCAAGACATGCTTCGCCAAATGCAAGAACAGCAGCAAGCATACGAGGCGGCAAGGCGGTCCAAGGTCACTTTGGCACCAATCCTCCAGTATTCGGCAGGCTATGTCCCACCCCAAGTCTATTCACAAGTGCCGACACTACAAGCTCAACCGTTCGCTGCCCAAGTACATCCTCAACAGCCTGGCCAAGTGCCACAAACAATGGCAGAAGGGGCTTCGGCTCTGCAGGCGCAGCTCCAAGCTTTCCTTCAGCAGCTCAGCCAACCCCACAACATTTCAGTTGCAACCCCTTCGGCTCACACGGAGGGGAATACAAGTCAAGGTGAGCCTAGTTGGTTGCCGTGGAGTCAAGTACCGTAGTTCGACTTCATCAATGCTGCTCAGGCACCAACCGTTCGGCCACGAGCACCAACGCCAGGCTTCGGAGCAAACCAAGCACCAAACTAGGTCGCCATGACATGGTCACAGCCGACTTTTGACCCATCCATGGCGGCTCAGCAAGCATCACCAATCGGAGCCGGGCAGCCGAATGCCATGGCCCAACCTCACGCGCAAGCCGTGATTTCGCCCTTCACCACGCCTTACCCGCAGCAAGTGCCGTGAACAGGGCAGGAGGCGAAAAGGGGCTACCGCTGAGTGGGGGAATCAAGACCCGTCCAATCCCACCCCAGTTCAAGTTCCCACCCGTCCCACGCTACTCAGGCGAAACTGACCCAAAAGAATTCCTCTCCATTTATGAGTCCGCGATCGAAGCGGCTCATGGCGACGAAAATACCAAGGCAAAGGTAATACATCTCGCTCTAGACGGCATCGTCCGTTCTTGGTATTTCAATTTACCAGCCAATAGCATTTACTCATGGAAGCAATTGCGTGATGTCTTTGTCCTTAACTTTCGAGGCACCTATGAGGAGCCGAAGACGCAGCAGCATCTACTCGGCATTCGCCAGAGGCCGGGGGAGTCGATAAGGGAGTACATGTGTCACTTCTCTCAAGCCCGGTGCAAAGTTCAAGACATAACTGAGGCGTCTGTCATAAACGCCGCTTCGGCCGGTCTACTCGAGGGCAAACTCACAAGAAAAATCGCCAACAAGGAGCCACGGACGCTTGAACACCTACTTCGCATCATTGACGGGTACGCAAGGGGCGAAGAGGATTCCAAGCGACGGCAAGCAATACAAGCTGAGTATGATAATGCTTCCGTCGCCGCTGCCCAAGCCCAAGCACAAGTTCAAGTTGCCGAACCACCTCCTCTCACTGTTCGCCAGTCCCAGCCGGCGATCCAAGGATAGTCGCCAAGGCAAGGTCAAGCCCCCATGACCTGGAGGAAGTTCAGAACCGACCGTGCGGGCAAGGCTGTGATGGCTGTCGAAGAAGTGCAAGCCCTCCACAAGGAGTTCGACACCCAGCAAGCAAGCAACCATCAGCAGCCTGTTCGCAAGAAGGTCCAAAGAGACCTCTACTGCGCCTTCCACGGACTCTCTTCATACACCACGGAGCAATGCCGAAACATTCGGCAACGTGGTAGCATGCAAGACTCTAGGCCGCAGCAGGGAGCAGCTGTCGAAGCACCTCGTGAAGCAGCTCAAGAACAAGCACTCCCGGCTGATCAGCGCCAAGATGCGCAGCGCAGAGTAATCCAAGTGATTACAAGGGCCGACCCGCCGATCCAGCTGTCGAAGCGTCAAAAGAAGATGCAGCTCCGAACGGTCAACAATATCACTTCGGCAGGCGAAGGGGCCCCGCAGTATCTGAACCAGCAAATCTCTTTTGGGCCAGGAGATGCCGAAGGAGTAATGTTCCCGCATCTAGATCCTCTGGTGATCTCAGCCAAGATAGCTGGTTTCGAGGTCTGGCGAATCCTGGTCGACGGAGGAAGTTCGGCCGATGTCATCTTCGCCGAAGCATATGCCAAGATGGGGTTGACTACCCAAGCCCTTACCCCAGCACCAACATCGCTCCGAGGATTTGGCGGAGAAGCAGTTCAAGTTCTTGGCCAAGCACAGTTGATGGTAGCCTTCGGCATGGGGGAAAACAGAACCGAAAGACCAAGTATTGTTCGACGTTGTCGACATCCTATACAACTACAACACCATCTTCGGCCGTGCAACCTTGAACAAGTTCGAAGCCATTTCCCATCACAATTATCTCAAGCTCAAGATGCCCGGCCCGACAGGAGTGATCGTGGTCAAGGGGCTTCAGCCTTCGGCTGCTTCAAAAGGCAATCTGGCCATAATCAACAGAGCGGTGCACAATGTTGAGGCCGAACCGCATGACCGGGCGAAGCACGCGCCAAAGCCTGCCCCTCATGGCAAGATAATCAAGATGCAGATTGATGATGCCAACCTCACAAAGCTCGTATCGCTGGGGGGCGACATGGGCGAAGAAGAAGCTGAGAACATCCTAGAGGTACTCAAGAAGAACATTGATATCTTCACCTAGGGCCCTAATGAAGTGGGAGGTGTTTCCACAGATCTCATCATGCATCACCTGGCAGTCAAGCCGGATGCCAAGCCAAGGAAACAGAAGCTACGCAAGATGTCCGCTGATCGCTAGGAGGCAGCAAAAGCCGAAGTCCAAAAATTGCTCAAGGCGGGAGTCATTCAAGAGATCAACCATCCTGAGTGGCTGCCGAATCCAGTGCTGGTGCGGAAGTCAAACGGCAAATGGTGCATGTGTGTCGATTTCACAGACTTAAACAAAGCATGTCCGAAGGACGATTTTCCCTTGCCACGGATCGACCAGCTCATGGATTCGACAACTGGCTGCGAACTCATGAGCTTCCTAGATGCATATTCCGGCTATCATCAGATCCACATGAACCCGGCTGACATCCCCAAGACAGCCTTCATCACACTGTTTGGCACCTTTTGTCACCTCAGGATGCCTTTCGGCCTGAGGAATGACGGAGCAACCTTCGCCAGGCTGGTGCACAAGGTCCTTTACAAGCCATTAGGGCGAAATGTGGAAGCTTATGTCGACTACATCGTCGTAAAAAGCCGCAAGGCTTTCGACCACGCGTCCGACCTACAGGAGACCTTCGACAACTTGCGCGCAGCGGGTATGAAACTGAATCCTGAGAAGTGTGTTTTCGGCGTTCTCGCAGGCAAGCTGTTGGGTTTCCTTGTTTCTGAAAGAGGCATCGAGGCGAATCCCGAGAAAATCGATGCCATTCAGCAGATGAAGCCTCCGTCGAGCGTACGTGAAAGTACAAAAGCTCGCGGGCCGAATTGCGGCACTCAGTCGATCCTCTCAAAGGCAGCTGAAAGAGGTTTGCCCTTCTTCAAAACCCTCTGGGGCGCGGGAAAATTCAACTGGACACCCGAATGCCAAGCAGCGTTTGACGAACTAAAGCCATACCTGCAAAGCTCGCCAGCTCTGATCAGCCTAGCACCAGGAAGCGAACTGCTATTATACCTGGCAGCTTCGCTAGTGGCAGTCAGTGCTGCTCTCGTCCAAGAAATGGATTCAGGCCAGAAACCGGTCTATTTCGTCTCCAAAGCATTGCAAGGAGTGAAGACAAGACACATTGAAATGGAAAAGCTTGCTTACGCCCTGGTGATGGCCTCACGCAAGCTTAAGCATTACTTTCAGGCCCACAAAGTCATAGTGCCATCGTAGTACTCTTTGGGCGAAATACTCCGGGGCAAAGAAGTTACTGGCCGGCTTAGCAAGTGGGCAGCAGAGCTATCCCCTTTCGACTTACATTTTGTTGCCCGGACTGCTGTCAAGTCCCAAGTGCTAGCTGACTTTGTGGCCGAATGGACACCGGCATTCGCCCCTGAACCCGAGCCCGTCGAATAGCCCTGGGTGATGTACTCCGACGGTTCGTGGTCGCACAAGAGGGCGGGCATTGCGGCAGTACTCACTTCACCAAATTGTGTGCCGATTTGGTATGCCGCAAGGCTGCAGTTCGACACAACCAACATTATGGCAGAATACGAAGCCATTCTTTTGGGCCTAAGAAAGGCGAAAGCATTGGGGATTCGGTGCCTGCTAATCCGAACCGACTCCAAGCTGGTGGCGGGCCATGTCGACAAGTCTTTTGAGGCAAAAGTAGAAGGGATGAAGAGGTATATGGATGCCATTCGGTCTATGGAAAAGTGCTTCACCGGCATAACGGTCGAACATTTACCTAGAGGCCAGAACGAGGAAGCAGACGCCCTGGTGAAATCTGCTGCTTGTGGTGGCCCAGATTCGCCTGGCATCTTTTTTGAAATCCTATATGCACCAAGTGTGCCCATGGACAGCTTGGAGGTCATGGCAATGGACTAGGTGAAACTGGGCGAAGACCCATACGACTGGTGAACCCCGTTTGTGAAGCACCTTGAAACTGGCTGGCTTCCGGAAGACGAAGCTGAGGCAAAGCGCTTGCAACTCAGAGCCACGAAGTATAAGATGGTCTCGGGCCAACT